TGTTTGTCAAAAAAAAAATCGAATTAATTTTTATATCACTAATATTGCAACTGCTATTTTATGACCAGATATCTTCATTCTTTTCTTGAGACTGCTCAGTCTCCAAGAAATGAAGTGTGATTTTTACAGTTTACATGGCAATGATTTATATGAAGGTCATGGCCTGTCACATGATAACACCTGACCCCACACAGCATGATGTAAGTGTAAGAATCACACTCTTTCTTAGGGTCAGCAGCTCCATGACACAGATCCCTGTGTTCAACCCACCACCCACAAAGTGGGGGAAATATGTCTTTTCCTTTTTTAAAAAATTTTCTCCTTTTTTGTCAGCTCCCTGAATTACTTTCAGGTAGTTCTGCACATTTCTACTTTTTCATTTAATTAGGTGCAAACACTCTGTATAAACAAAATAAAAAGTTCTCTGCAGCTAGTAGACTGTTGCAGACTGCCAGACACCGAAAAATGTTTGTCTGTGTTGCCGTTGCCTAATAATTCACATTTTATAAACAAAGAAATCTTTCTCTCCCACTTTTTTCTCTCACATTTCCTGTTAGCTTTTGGGGGTTAGAAGCTTGGATCCAGCTGCAGAATAAGTTTGGATCCCAGTATACAGTAGGTGTACTATCCGTGGAAACAATAGGTGTACAGTACTACCAAGGTTCCCTGCCTGCCTTTCAGTCACACAGACTCCATATCCTTTAGGAGATGTCATTGCAGTGCTTGTATGTAAATGCTACATAATCTGTTAGGTATTTCAGATCTCTTTACGTGATCCTTGGGAAGCCAAGTCATAATTCTTTATGTCCTTTTTCTAGCAGGAGGCACAAGACATAGACTTCCCCCATTACAATGATATGATACTAGAAGTATCTATAAAGAACTTATGTTGATTCACTAAGAGCATATCAGAATGGTGTGTAAACTTGGTTATCTCTTTATATGTGAAGAGAGAGAGTCTGGAGAAGCTTTGCAGGTTTATGAGTTGATGTGCTACTAAACTGCAGAACCTAAATCCTCTTGGTTTCCACAGTCCCACAGTATCTACAGAGAGCCATTGTCAACATGTCTGGCCCACAGGAAACCAGTTATTTGGTTGCATTTATATATGGATCAACTGGTATCTGAAAGCTGGGAACTCATACCTGGGCATGGTATCACTGCAAATAGAGTTATCCTATAGTGCCATAATTCTGTGTAGATGCTGCAGCTGAGTGTAGGGCACTGAGAAAACTGTATGCCTCAGTTACTGGTGCATTTAGCTCCTTTCAACTGCTGCTCAAGACAGGACTTCAGAACTTCCAGACTGTATCCTAAATTCTAGTAATCATGCTGGTTAGAGTAATTTAGTCACCACCTTGCTCTCTTTCTGGATCTCTTTCTTAAAAAGAAAGTAGTGAAAATTTAGGATGATAAGTAAACCTGAAGCCTATGTCCCATTTAAATTCAGTTCTTCAAGCTAAATTGTGCAGACTGTCAACACCTATTGAAGCTATTGCATTATGCAGAGAATCAATTTAAACAGCATCTTATGCTTTAGTGATGGAAGAGAGAGGTATCTTTTTCTGAACAGAAACTTTATTTCTATTGTGCTTTACTCTGATATGAAAAGTGACCATTCCTGTGACTTTCCATCATTCTTTCTTCAAAGACCAGTTTCTTGGCCAGCTGCAGCACTTTAACAAATCTCCCAAAATCTGTCCAGTTTGGCCTGAAATAGCAAATATTTTGGAGTGTCTACTTGCTCAAGACTTTAGGACCCTAGTTCTTATCTTGAAGAGGCTCAAGATCATGCGTTAGAATCTGCAGAATTGGAGCAATGTTTACAGTATATAAATTTTCAGTGTCAGAAAATAAATATTCCTAGTAGTAGATCTGAAGAGACCAAATACAATAATATGTAATGTAAATAATTGTGTTGCTGTTTGCAAATGTGTCTTTATTCACTTCCATTTCTTTTAGGTGTTTTATTTAGTCTTAACAATCCACTCTAACTTGAATGACATATTCCAGATGTAAATGTGCACGGATGCTGTTCAGGTTGTAGATGTCCAAACCTTTATTGTGTGCTTCACAGTACACAAGTGTCTTGTGTGTGTGCATTCATACCTGTATGTATATGCTTTATAACCCAGTGCCTTCCTGTGTCTTACTCACTGCATAAAAGTTTGCACACAATGAAACTCTCTTTTATAAAATATCCCCATTGGCACCTTCACTGCTCCCAAGACAGGCACGATCTATCAGTGGTGTAAAGCTGCAGGCACAATTAATCTTTTGTAATCTGTCATAATACATTGTATTTCATACACTGAATAGTCTGACTGATGTGTTACTGTAGTGCCATGAATGCCAGAGTTTCTGAGCAAAAGGTTATATCTGTTTCTAAGCATCTTAACTTCCAGATCTCATTTTGAGATTTTGGTTCCAAGAAGGATTTGATTCTAACAGCAGGATTTTTTTTCCTCTATTAATGTTGATTTCAATGCAAAACCATGCATATCTTCTAAGTATAAAACCTACTCTGCTGAGCTCTATAAAAATCTTCCAAAATACACTAAGACCAGGAATTTTTGCTGGAATCTAAGACTGGAAGGACAACTCTTTGGCAGTGAAATACTTACCTTCCAGGAATTCATAACTGGTAAATATCCTTACCTTTCCACACTTACAGACTTCCTTTACAGTTGAGATGGGATGGCAGAAAGAAGCCAGGTCATTCTACAAACTGTTCATGCCTTCAAAAAGGAACAGATCTTGTGGTCTTGTGGTAATTCTTTAAAATCAATAAGATGTTCTACTCAAGAATACAAGCTGAGATTTTCCAAGACAGAAGCCAGAGTGGCAACATGCCTTTACTTATATCAACACAAGGAAATGAGCCAATTATAGCAAAACTAACCCAACAGACTTTAGGAATTTTAGATGGAAATCCAGAAGATATTGCCCTTTCCTCCACCTGCTTTGGCCAAACTCATGAGGACAACAAAGGGCCAACAAAGTCATCATCTCTCTGACAAGTGTCAGGGAAACCTGGAGCTATTGCTGCGGTCATGGTAGGTCTCTGTTAATGTCTGTGAGTCTTGCTGTAATTACTTACTCAGTTCCATGGAATCTCTTTGCTGTCTCAGTGAAAGTGTCCACCACTTTTTAAAACAGGGACAGAACAATTGGTGTATCAGAGGGTTAAAACTGCATTTTATGCCATTAGCTACGTTGCTAGTAAAAGAAACAAAAATTCAATGCATGTTACAATTTTCTGTTTCCCTTTCTGTTATGTTGTATGTTCATTCCTGTTACACAGAGCATGGAGTTTCTGTTTAAATGAAATGCACTTCTGGAGTTGTGTTATGCCAGCCATCCTAGGTTAAGGATGAAGTGAGAAAGAAACTTCCTATCCTTCTAATTTTGGGGGCAGTCCTTACGACTTAGGCTAGCAAGGCAATGCAAAAAAACCAACCCTGCTGCCCTTCCTATTCTCTGGCTAAACAGAAAATTCAAAGCTACCTAAAACCTATCTGCAAGTTTTCAGCCTGTAGATTCATATGCCAGTTATGGGTATACAAGAGAGGAAGAAGGCTACAATTCTTTTGAAGTCAACAGGATCAGAGCATCATCTTCCCAAATTCATCAAATGAAGGTGTTTTACAAACTTCTACTGCTATGGTGTTACTTGCTTCCTTGAATTTCTTATACAGGAGTTCCTGATCTTGAGTCATTTTTGTGAGACCGAAACCAACACTGCACAAGTTCATCATTCTCAGACCATGGCTGTAGCTGCCTACACCTGGCTTTGCAGGACACCAGGACTTCTGGCAGTGAGAAGGGTCAGCTCCTTATTTCTGCTTCTGGTAGCTCATAGTTTCTTGCCAGACTGAACATTTCTGCCCAGCTTCAAATTTCTAAGGGAAAAAATTTTAAGAAGCTGAAATAAAAGCAAAATAGGATGGGAATATGAAAACAACATTTCTGAGCCCTGCTGAGTTCCAACAGCAACACAAAACTATTCCGTTTATATATTTAGCTAAATAAATCCTGGCATCACCACTAGTATGTTTCCTCTCATTGTGGGGGTTTCTTTTGACTTGTGTTGGGACAAATATAAGATGAATGAGAATGAAGGACAGATGTCAGTTCTCTAAGTGCTAGTGGGAACTGGAAACTCCCTTCAACAGCTGCTTTCAGAGTGTTCAAACCTGACCAAGACCATTTCTCTGGAGCAGGAGTGCTGACAGAGACCAGCTGATGGAGCCCAGCTTCAACCTGCAGTTCCTCGTGGCCGTCCCAAAGCTGGGATCTGAAATAGCAGGATTAATCCATCCCAGTGCTGCTCTTCAGGGAGGCTTGGTCACCAGGGTCCCATGCCTTTGTCACTTCTCCTCAGCCCTCACCTGAGCACCATCACTCTCGCTGCAGCAGCCACTGACCTCAGCAAGGCACTGCTGTCTGATTTTGTGTTGAGGAGAGGAAAAGGCTCCCCACGCCTGCGCCCATCCCTCTGGAGATGCACAGCTGAGCTCACAAACACACCGGGAGCCAGCACCAGCTCTGGAGCTGCCCTTCTCCTCTCACACAGGGATTGCTGCTGCTCCTCGCTTGTCTTTTCCCCCCTTCTCTCTCCCTGCTGGCTTCTGCATTTCCTCCACGGTGATCCATTAGGTATTTACCGGCAGGATAATGTGACTTTTCACACCGGTTCTCTGTGTGCGCTGCCCTGCAGACCGGGCTGGATAAAGCCTCTCCCCAACCCCAGCTGGCTGGACATCTCCCCCCCACCTTCCCCTCCCCTTCACACCAGCCAAGCCAAGGATTCCTCTCTCCCTCCCTCTTTCTTTTTCCACCCCTCCCGCCTTCAGTGCAAACCCAAGACGCAGGATCCTGCCGAGGGAAAGTGCTCCTTGAAATCATCACCGCAGAGCCCGCTACGAAAGTGCAGAGGAGGAGAGAGAAAAAGCCTCGGCAGCCAACCTCCTGCAGCTGAGGGCTTTGGAAGCAGGGCAATGGCTCCAGGCTCTCAGAGATTCTCTCTCACCTTTCTCCAGGGCGTGGGATCTGTCTTCTTCTTCTTCTTACTTCAGATCATCTCTGTTCAGGCTGATGGTGAGTCTCCCATTCAGTTTGGGCTGGGTTGATATGGCTGGAATGAGGGCTGTTTGTTGAAATGTGTTATTGCAAAAAGGAAAAAAAAACCCAAACCAACTTTTTTTTTTTTTTTTTTTTTTTTTTTTTTTAAATAAGAGGCTTTAATACACGCCCCAGTTTGTATTAGGAAACTTCTGATTCAGAGCTTTTTGAGACTTTACAAATATCCTGGGGTTAAGCAGAGAAAGGAAATAAGATCCCAGAAGGCTAAGATTATTTTATTACAACAGAATGACAGGATAGTGAACTTTTCCAGAGGAAATAAGAATAAAGAAACAAAGCCAGAACACAACTAAGAAGGCTCAGCTATATTTTAGGAGACCTCTCCTTATAATTCAAAGTACCTTTTCTCCAAAGGACTTTCCCATCTCCCCACTTCAGATGTGTCATTTTATATGGGCAGGTACTTGAGAAGTGAAAGACTTTGATAACCTCTTCTGTTCAGTGCCACACATGCTGAAAATGATTGCCCACCTTTCTGCACATGGGCTTCATCTGCACTCCCCTGCTGAGGGATGTGATCAGGACATGGATTTGGCTGAAGCACCAGCTACCAGTTACTCTGAAATGGGACTTTTTACTTGCTGATGGTGATCCTGAAAAGATGCATCCCTTGAAAGTTTCCAGTAACCCAACGCCCTTTTAATGATTCAGCTTGTGATAATGATGACCAGCTTGTCTAAATTGGTCATCATTACTTTTGAAACAACTACAACAGCAATGCTAAATTTTCCACATTTTTCCACTTTCACAGCTGCAATAGATTTATGCCCAATCTCAGGATTTTTTAATTCCAATACCCTAATCCTTTACCATTGATGTTTGCTGCATTATTCCAGACAACAGAACTTAAACATTATAGGGCAATAAAAATCTCTTCTTGTTTGTTCTCACAGAATTTTTCCTGTTTAACTTAAATTTCTTTCAGTTGGTGACAAAGTACGGCAAAGGAAAGGGAGAAAATTAATCTTGTCTGTATGTTTCTACAGCTTCGAGTAGAATGTATAAATGTATTCCATTTTTACAACAGAACCCTTTCTTGTAAAGTTTAAGGAGAGTTACACTTCATTCAGCATAAAGGAAAAGAAATGCATCAGATAACTGTACTATGTTGCAGTAGGCAAAACTGTGATTCTGTTTTTTGGATGTACTCCTTCCTTAGCAAAATGCCTTTGAAATAAGAAGGGGCGGGGGGGGGCGGGGGGAAGCATATCCATGAAAAAGGAATCTTCATAGAGCTTAAGGACACAGGGCAGGAATAATAATTTCCCTTGCTGAGAATGCTTCACCTGAAGATCCCCTTGTTCTTTCAGGGGCACATTCCAATTTTTATTATTTCCATAAAACTAACGAAACTAACTTTTTGATTCCTAAACAAGCATCTTCTAAAAGAGAAAGGGAAAAAAAGTTGGAGATCATTTTAAGGCAGAGGTCATGACAGATTTTAATTGTCATTCAACAGTTCATCAAATTTACTTCACATGTGGTAAAACATTCATAGTATGATAGGCAGAAAATCTGAAATACTTTACAGTTGTCAAGCATTATTACAATAATGTGGTTTGCAATTTTATTTAAATTCTAGGTAGCATTGTGAAAGATGTGTAAGTCTGCTATTAACTTGATCTTCAGTGGGTTCTCCTAATATTAATATTTGAGCACACAACTATAACACTGTCCTATAAGCCATCTGGGTTAAAACAGAAGAAAACACTGTATGTCAGCTTTAACATTCACCGCTATGTATTTAAGAAAATCTGGGAGTATGAATTAGGATTAATCCTTTCTTTTATAGCAGATTCTGGTCTGATCCAGTCAGAAACCACCTTCTCATTTTTAAGGTGTGGGTGAAAATATAATGGTGCTAGTTTCTAATACATGTTAATGTCACTTAAGTGCCGATGTTCTGAGTGACACATACGTGTTTGTGTATTTGTCATTTTTAACTGAAGGTATCTGACTGTGTTGCAAACTGCTAAAGGGATTTCGAATATGTCTTGTAAAAAAATGTGAAATTCAGACTGGCCCCTGTTACAGTCAAACCTCTCAACTGGTTGCAATGTATTTCCCTAAGGAAGACTTTCACTTTATTATCTCACACAAAAATAATGGCAGAGAGTAGGCAATAAAACTGATGGCTGTCGGGGTCTGGTGAAGGTGTAAAACTTCAGAGCTTAATTGATCTCTCTTGACCATTATTTACCATGGCACATATTGCTGTAGCACAAATAGGCTGCAGAAATACCCAGGCAAATGCAGAAATAAAATATAGCTCCATTTCACTTTTTAGCTTTTTTTGCTCAAAGTTGTCCAGGTCCAGGTCAGATGGACAGAAGACTCCCCAAGGGCTTGTTCATACTCTGAGGTACCATGGTGTGCCACTGCCAGTGCAGTTACTGGAGAATAATATGTGTAATTGTGGCAGTTCTCAATTGTATAACTGCAAATTCAGGAGGTTTAAATTGTTTTCCATTTGCACTGGAATAGGAGAACAAGGATGTGACTTCCTGAATCCTGCACAGGAGTTGCCTCCGCTTTTTTTGCCTCCCTCTTCTGTTTGTTCAAGGCTTCTAAAATATCCACACGTATGAACCACAGTTTTCTGCAGAGTACTTGCTCTGAGACAGAGCATGTCAGGAGAGGGTGATGGCGATTCATCCACCGTACCGAGACACTCCTGAAATGAAAAATGTGCTAATTTCAAAGCATTACTAATTGTGCCAAATTGGAGCTGCTCTGTTGGCTAAATTTGGATCACATGAAGCCCTATTGGTCAAACCAGTAGTTAGCAGTGTCCATGCATAGTGCCTGCAGAGGTTGCAGGTGAAAGGATCCAGAGTCCATGAAGCTGGGCACAAACAAGATCTGAGAGATATGCCTCTAACTAGAAACTGATGATGTCCAAAGTAGGAAAACACCCCTATTAAAGTATTTAATTTGGCTTGTTTTTAATCCTTTTTTTTTAAAGTAAAGGAAAAAATGTGTGTTTTTTCTCTTCTGCTGTCTCTCAATGCTCAAATTTCTGTAGCAGGTGTCTACACATTTCATTTCCTGCTTACAAAATAACACACATTCACGCGTGAACAATTCCAACTGTTTGGTCCTAAATTGTCCAGTAAAATCAAAATTTAGGCTCAAGCTGGGTATAGCTGATGGGAAACTCAAAGATGACATCTTGATTTTGCTATTTTTCTGATGATGCAATATTTTTTTAATTGAATAAGACATCATTCACTGTTGTTTCTCACAGAAATAAACTACATATTTGTGAAAACTAAGTAGAATTAGTAATTAGCCATATATCTGTCTGCAATTGTAGAGTTACTGGATCTTCCACCTTTACACTTACAATCAAGATACATTGTTTCACATATCCATAGAAATGAAAATTAAATTTCTCTTGAAGTACAGAAGTGACCTTTCCTTCCTCTGCTCTTTTTCATCTCAATTTGAAATTTTTAACATTCAATTAAAAATGTATTGGACTCCACTTTTGCACATCTTTCACCAAATTTGTTTTGTTGAAACTGATTAAGTTTTATTATTTGAAATAGGAAGTGTCATATCGTGAGGTCAGCACACTGGGCATACCTTTTAAAGTGCTTTCATTTTATAGTATTTTTGAGGGATGTTCTTACTTTAAGGTATATTTGACTATACAGTTTTCTGTTCCTTCTTCAAGCATGATGCAAATCCTGCTGAAGACATGGGGAAATTTGAACTCATTTTGGTGGGCTTTGAGCTGTGCCTGTGCACCTCAGAAGAACTTCTTGTTGTATCTGTTTCTGTAAAAGAATAAATCAGCCAAAGTCTTTTCTTAATAACCAATAGAATTCTGTTAAACCCACTGATCTTCTGTAAAATATGAAGAAACAGATTTTGGACAGGTTTTATTTTTGAAGAACTCCTTTTTTGCACTTCCACATATCTGATTGTAGATGTCTCTTAAGTCTTGAAAGCATTATGAGGATCAGTTGTTAGAAGCTGAGTTTAGCAAAATTTGGAGCTGGAAATAAGGTGGAGTAAGAGTAATGAACCATTGGAACAGTTTACTATAAAGTGTGCTGTAAATTCTCCTTTACTTGGAGGCATTGAATCATGACTGGATGCATGTTGAAAAGACAAGCTCTAGTTCAACCATGAATTTTTGGACCTGATTGTGGAATTACAAGGGGAAATCTACAGTCTAGTAAGGCAGGAATTGAACAAGGTGAACTAGGTGATTCCTAGAAGCCCTGAGATCTATGTCTCTGTGGTTATGTTTTCAATCAGAATACAGTGGGGTACTCTTAAGTAAAAATTATATTAATCCATTGCAAAAAAATAACTACAACTTTCTCAATAAATCAAAATATAATCAATATTCTGTAATAACAGTGATCAGATAATGGCAGAAGATAGCAATAAAATATAGGCTAATTATTAAAGAGGAAATCTCTTTTGTTTCAAGCATGAATTTTTCATGTGAACTGTGAATCCCACTGACAAATAGAGGTTGGAAGAATGATGTCTTATTATTTATGCCTCATCATTGAAGTGAAAAGCTTTATCACTTTTTTCAAATGGGAATTTAAAAGAATCTCACTGTGACAAGAATCTTTTTCATTCTGAACCTGCTAAACTCAACAAGCTCAGTACGCATTCTGAGAAATACTACTTTGCATGGATTTTTAGCTTGATCTTGAAACCAAAGGGACTTACATTGTTTAGAAAAGCTTCAGAAAAGTGTGTCATTTTGGTAACAAATTTCCACCCCCCTGTGGAGGTGAAAGTGTTATGGGAAATGAATGTTACAGGGCAGAAATGAAGTGACAGAGTTGAGAGGGAGTGGAGACATGGTGGCTGCTCAAAGGTACCACAACCAAAGGCATACTACATTCTTCATGTACACATGATCCTTCATCCTGTGTCTTATGGAAATACAGGACAGTCTCACATTTAAAACAGAATGACAACACATATCCTGATACTCTCTCAGAGATAAGGCTGACTTCAACCACTCCAATATAAAAAGATGAGTGCTATGTCATCAACTATAAGAGACAATCCTTTTTTAGGAAACATTTCATTACAAGTAGGACCGATAAAAATGTTACAAATAATTGTCCAGGACCCTTAGATTCCCTTAGACTGAAAATGATACCACTTTTGAGATTAAAAGTGAGAAAAATTTAATACATCCATATCTTGATTATGTTAGCCATGATACTGTAAGGTGCAGAATTCAGTGTTGCAGTCTTTTTTGTTTAAGGGGATTTCCTGTTTTCATGTGGTTTGTGGTTTTCCTGTTACCATGCTAGCATGTCTCCTGTATTTTTTCTGTCAATGCCCCTCAGTAATGTGACACATCTCAGGATATTGAGGACTCAGCTATTCCATTGGTCAGCCATCTGATAAGTGAACTTTGCTTGCTATTATATTTTCTAAGCAAGAAATTAGACAAAACAAAGGGCACATCTTGAAAAATGGGCAGATAGCCAGAGAGCTTCTAAAAGTTTGAAGACCAATCAAAAGGTTGGTCTGGTAAACAGATTGGCCTTCTTTACCCACTTCTAACCAAATTCTGTCTAACCAGAATTTCCTATAAAGTAGTTCACTGGAACTTCCCAACCAGTAAGTCTTTCCTAGCTCACCTTATAATTCATTTGTTTGTATAATTTGATCATCCCAGATACCTTTTCAAAGGACAAGATTCTGTGTTGGCAGCATCTCCACAGTTTCTAGTAAAAAGTTAGTGTATCTTAAGTACTAGCAAACAGCTTAACAGTAGTCAAGGGAAGCTGTCTCAGCCTCTGTCTTGGATAGGCTGAAAATGTAACTCTTTAAAAATGTAACTCTTGCTTCCTGGTAAAACGACTAAATCATTAACTAATTGTATCTAGATGGAACTCAAAGTTTGATGATTTTCCTTTCTTTAAGGTTTCTAAGTGAAATACTAATAGCTAGAAAATAAGGGTTATGCCATGTCAAAATAACATTCATGATTTAATTTAGATGTTATGCAAATTTGCCCTATATGTCTTTGACAGCGCACCTCAATCCTGACAGTCTAAATGTAGAATGTGGACAAGTTTTTAGCTGGGACAGAACCTGTAAATCATTACACTTAATCCCTGTTTTGCTTTAGGAGCAAAAGCTGTTTTGCCACTTAAGAATGGCTGTTCAAAACCATCACCTCCCTGTTTACTGTCTCTCTCCCTAGGCCATGCACATTTCACTGTGTCTGTTGAAGCTTTGGAAAAAGGAACCACATTAGTGTCATGTGCATTATTTGGGACATATTGTAAAGAATCCTGATGTTTGTGTACTCAGGGATGTAGAGGCTTGCTGCTTTCACTACTTTGTGTAAAACCCCCCATTCTAATGACACTTACTGGTTTTGAATACAGTGGAGAATCCAAAGACATTGTAAAATAGTGGTTATCACACTGACCAGTATTTCTGGCTGTATTCCTTGGTCAGCTGCTGTTAGCTGCCTTAGGAAAATTGCTCTGGGTACTCTGAATTTCTGTTCCTTCTCATAGCTGCTTGTCCTGCTTATTTGAATTGCCATTTTCCCAAGTCAGGATGACTTCCTGCTGTGCACATGTAGAATTCCCACCAAAGTAGGAGTCCTCATTAGGACCTGTCTGCCCTTGTTACCTAATGTAAACACAAATTACATGCTTACTTGAGGGAAACTACATTTTTTGATGTAAGGACTGTGATTCTTCTAGTGGGTGTAGTTGTGCACAGGTGAGAACAGAAAGCTGTTGGGGGCAGATCTACCCTATATAAATTGCCTGTATTTAGGATTAGAATCAGATTTACCAATTTGTTGAAAGAGTATGTGGTGAGAGTGGCCCCTGGTACAGAACCCGGCTGAATCAGTCTGAAGAATTCCCAATACTGGTCAATACCTCCTGTGAGTGTGAAACTGGCTACATAGCAAGCATTTGGCATGTGCTGGAAGTTATGCATTCCTGTAACCACTACCACGAATCCTCTTTGGAAATAAGACATAAATAAGAGTTTCCAGGCATTTACTGAATTAGTGGTGCTTAAAATATTTCTTCCTGCAACTGCAAGCAATCTCAGTCTATACCTTTGAAATCCAGGAGGAATTCTGAGGGATGCTATCACATCCCTCAGATGTGATAGAAAAAAAGATAGTTTCTGTGTAGCAAAAAAGATAGTTATGTCAAATTAAATGTCAGCTGCAAAGTGTCTCATTGTTTATTTCTTTTACTGGAGCACCCAGCTAACATGTTCATTCCATAACCCAGTAACTTCTCAAACTTCATTGCCAAAACCCCAACTGACCTGTTCCCAGTTGCCAAAACCTCTAACTTTCACCCTTTCAGCTTTCATGGTATTAGATAAATTAAAGTAAAATAAACTGAACTGAAAATAAAAATAACACAAAAAATGTTATGCTAAATATGTTCTCATGCTCATTCAAAGAAAAAAAAAAAGCCTTCCATTAATAAAAAACTCTGTCTTTCCAAAAAGACATGGTAATGAAGCAGTCTGCATTTAGACACCAGATGTCATGGAATGACATAATTTTGATTTTAGAGAGTAAGTAGAAATCTATTTTTGATGTGGAAGGCAGGGCTGCAAAACTGGCTTTCAGGCATGTGCTTACTTTATGGATGTAGCTGTTATAGAGTAACTGTAAAATGTTTAGTAATGGATTCCAGCATTAGTAGCCTACAGGAGCTGTTCTTTGTGATTTTAACTTTATATGTGCATATGAGAGAGTATCATGCTTTATCTCTCCAGATCTGAAGCACAGACCTACAGAGGCAAGGCAAGCTTCCCCTCTGAGTTTGGAATGACTAGTGCCATTCTTGCTTTTCCTGTGGTAGACAAAATTAAAAGAAAAGCTAACACAAGGATATTTACAGTCCTGATTAAATTAGGCTTTTCAAAAAAAAAAAAAAAGGTGGGCCATTAAAATAACCTTAGTAAAAGCATGAAGGCTTTATTTGGTGATAATTTGCAATATTTCTGTTGAATATGTATTGAGTACAATTCCATGATGGATGACATGTCCTTTCTTGGTGTTGCAGGGAAAGTCTTTGCACTTGAGTCCAAGAACAACTCTCAGGGTCTGGATTTAGCTGAAGCTGAGAAAGCTTGTGTTGACCTGAGTGCTCGCCTAGCAACTGCAGAAGAGCTGAAAAGGGCTGTTCTGGACTGTTCTTTTGCTGGCTGCACCACAGGATGGCTTGCCAGCGGCTCTGCTGGGTAAGGACAACAGCATAACACCTTCTGGGAACTATGAATGATGGTTGTCAAGGAAGTTTTCCACCTTGACTAAGATTTACTGAAAAACACTGGCCACAATTCAATCACCATGACATACAGCTAAATTGGCCACTCTCCCCCAAGAATTAGTTTTTTACAGCTAATATTGCAGGTACACAAGTATTCATCAGTCTCACATTATGAGTTCACAGATTTGATGCAATTTCTTCTTCTTCTTTCCCACTGAATTACATCACTGTGGCTCCTGTCACCCTGGCCTGTAGTGGGGTGCTGAGCCCTAAAGAGCCTTGCAGGACACATGTCCTTGCTGAGGACACGGTGCTGGAGTTGCTGTCAGTGCTCCCACTGACTGCTATTCTGCAGTCCTTCAGAAGCTCAGCAAACAAAACTTCTCATGGGAGCCTCGTGTCTGTCTAAGATATTGATGCATGGCTGAGCAGACAATAGGCATGTTCCAAAGGGCACAGATGCACTTAGATATGATAATCCACATGTGCTAGAGAGTTTGTTGGGAAAGCCCACCAGGGAACTGACATTGTCCCTCAATGTGTTTGAATGACTCAACATGGCGCTAGGCTGAGCTTTTCCTTGCATGAAGCACTGTTGCCTCTGTAGATCCTTAAATTTAAAGCAGGAATGTAAATGGAGGGAATGTCTTCCCTTGTGTTGAGGGAATGTCTGATGTCACTGAAGCTGGGACCACACAGGAATTGCCCAGATGGAGTGTATCCAATCTATTTTCAATGTTCGATGAGGATGAAGCTTTGTTTTATGGAAAAAAAGTTTCCAAACTTTAGCATATTATTAGGTTTTGTGACAGTTGCCAGTTTTTTAGGTAAGCATTGGTGTTTCGGTATTTTTAGTAATAAAATTTCCAAAGGACAGAAAATTACTGCTATTAATGAAATATTATATTGAAACTATTTCAAAGAAAAGCAACCATTTTCTCCAATTATATTCTTTTCCAGGTGAAAAAATTGTTTGAAAATTTATTTTTATGTAAAAAAAAAAAATTCCAGAAATATCTCAGGATAAAAGACAGTGATCTAAACCCCAAAAATCTTTTTTCCCAAGACTGTTGCTGAGATGTCTTGCAGGCTGACTAGCCAGGGAAACTATATACCGTAAGAAGTCCATGGCAAAGTTGTTGCACAGGGTCTTTTATACAACCTCTGTATTATGGAAGTAAGGATGGGTAGGAGAAGAAATCATGGCTTTTTTATCTAAGCAGTACCACTAGTTAGTCCAGTGAGATCCTAAATTAATTGCTACAGGCACTTGAGCTGTGACTATTAATAGATCAGATGTGCACTGAATATCTTCAGCATCAAAATAGTGATAAAAACACATCATAAGCATGGGAAGGAAATTAAGAATTTTCATCCCTTCTAACTTCCTGTACTCCATTCTCCCAGTAAACCTGTCTTTAGTATGGAAGTTTCTAACCTATTTATCAGAAAAAACCTTGTGGGGGCACATCAGTACACCATTGTTGTGCAGTCACCAGGTCTGACCTTCACTGGAAAGCTTCACCAGAGAGAAAAGCTCTTCAGAGCTGGAATTTTATACTCTGGGGCTATTTTACCCATGGCTGGGCAAGCACCAGAATGTATGTTACTTGGTTCATTGAACTGGGTATTTTTGGCCCTGGGGGAAAATAGGAATTGTGTACTGCCTAAAAAGGCTAATCTGTTTTAACTGTAAGTTAATGCAGCTCTGGAGAAGGAACTGAACTGTTGAGTGCAAAGAGCGCAAATGGGACAAAGCTGTTTAAGTTGAACAAGCTCAGCTCCAATACAGATATTTACAGAGAAATTTAGATGAAAGGGTGAAATGATGCCAAAAGGAGCTCAATGATACATGATGATACATGCAGGAGAGGAACATGCAATCTACTTGAAAATATCTTTACAAGGTCTGATTTACCTCTGTCAGGTCAGGAAAAATATGAGGACATCGCTATGGACAGCACAAAGAAAACCTCTGTATGACTGCAGCTGTAGTAAAAAACAGACAAACAAACAAAAAACCAAATGTTCAGCAAACAAAGAAATTGCTAGAGTGTTCATAGAATGGGATGAAAAACATGAAAAATATATATACACGTAGGTCAGTGTAATAGCCTCCTTTGGAATATTATATGTATTGTTACGGTGTCTTGGGAAAAATACTAAAAGGGTCTTAAAAAAGGGCACAAGAATGACTAAAGTAATAGAAATTCTATTAACAAGGGACTCCAGTTTTCTACTAAATTAGTTATTTATTTTTTAAAATATACCAATTCAGTACTTTGGGTATTTACTTGATAACTGAAAACATGACAGCAGGGATAAAGGACAGATGGTATACAGAAAAACCTCTGCACATCAGTTGATGTAACCCAGAGAAGGGAAAGCAGACTTCATAGTATGCCCACAAGTTAGAAAAGTATGGAAAATTATTTCCAAAAGAAAAGACTCTCTGCTGGGCACACCTTGTGTATTTATCTTGATGAAGCACCACATCTTTGAATAATAGGTGACCTCCTCACATATGGCAGGTCCAGAACTGTTCAGGACTTTATAAGTTGGATCTAAAACCTTGGAATCCTCCCAGCAGCTGACTGGTGTCCAATGCAGAAAACAGAGCTTCAGCTGAAAACTCTCCTGTATCCTCTTGGATTGTGTACATCAGAAAGGAGACAAATAGGAGGGAGCATGATAAAAGTTCCTGATTTCAAGAAGAATGAGGTTTGGTTTATTTATTTGGTGCCTAGAAGGTATTCCAATCTTTCTCCTGAGGAAAAATGGATCAGACATTGACAGTAGAAGTAAACACAGACAAATGATGTGACTGAAGTCATTACAGTGTTACAGATTTTCTGACATGCTTCAGCCTTCCTTTCACCACTTAGATTTAAAACTGAACAGGAACTCTAGCAGACATGTAAGGACTTTTTCACTGCTAGATCTATTCTCCAGGTTTTGCACAAGTCTGTGATTTGTTCACTTCTGATGGCTATTTATGGTTTTAGTGAGTAATTACAATCCCACTCCTGGTAAATATATCCATCACTGTTGATTATTTTGTCATTATTATTATTTTTACAGCCAAATCATAGCCTGGAAACCAGTGGGAGTTTCTCCTGTTATGGCAGAGGCACATCACTGAGTCAGTGTGAGCATGTTTATACTGCCTGCTCTCTGGGCTGTACCTCTTCTATGGGCAAAGAGGAGCATTTGGCCTAAAGAGCCAGTCCAGTTTGGGTGACTGTCAAATTTCTGATGACTCTCATGTCAATGCAGATCATCCATATTTAAATATGCCCACTTCAGTCCCTGCAAACTGGGCTAGCCCAAGCAGCAGGTCTTGATGAATATGAATCATTTCTACTGATGCAGAATGGAAATTGCTTAAACAAATTGATCCTTGCCAGTAAATCCAAAGACACAATAAACTGGGTGGTTTTGTGGTTTGAGCAGCCTGAAACAGAACTTCTTTCACAGGAATAAGGGCATGTTCTTGTCTTTCCCTTGCAGTTGTTCAGGCCAACCCAATTCAGGGTTCAGAGCTCTTCACACAGACAGACGTGTCCCTGGCAGTCCAGGGGCTTGGGAACTTTTTGAGAAGAGCCACTGACAAGTAGGCAAGGATAACTTCTCCCAGCAAGCCAGAAGTCGCCCTTTACAAGTCAGTCCTGACATGTGTAACTTATAAAGCATTACACATTGTTGCATTTCAGGAAATGAAACGTCGTTAGGCAAGTCTTATTTGTCAGATGAGCCCTAATAGCTATTTATACTAAAAATGACACTCTTATGACTTACTTGCATGTCAGACAAGTGAGTCAGTAAAACCATCAAGTGATCTGCCAGAATATTAATGAAAAAAAGGTGGCAGAGTTCTCTGAAAGGCTCTCACTGCTATCTTTTGAATTCAGATGTCATGCTGGAAAACTTTGTGTTGAGTCTTCCAACACTGGGCAGCATATCCTGTAGGGTCTTGACTTCTTTACTGGGGTTTTTGAAATTTAGGAAGTGAACATGACACAATTGGTATTAATATCAACCCTGTACAAACAGCCATTTATTTTAGAAATTGTTAAACATCCTCAACACCTTGTATTAATATCCCCGTAGCAAATTTACTCATTTCCAGTGCTTTTGTAGGATGGAAAAGCTGAAGCTGCCCTATTCCCTATCCTGTTCCTTATTTGCCTGCAAAGAGATGGAGCCATGTTTCTCTTCTACAACAGCTTTGATGCTCTGCATAGAATTTTTCTTCTATGACAGACTTCCTGCAGGGCTTTCAACCTGCTCCTTTGTGTGAAATCCCTGGGTTGGTTCCTACCCAGTCCCTGGAGGATTTATTCCAGAGTGGATAAGTCAGGAGTGAGCAAGCAGAGTCAGCTAGAATAAGCTCTGCTGTGAGAGTCAGAAGACAGGGTTTCTTTTCTTGGCTGCCCACAGACCAGGTGTTTGTTACCAGGAAAATTATTTCGTCTCTATTTTCCCTTCCTTTTGTTAGCTTTTTGGGTTTTGCACTGGCTGCTTTTGAATGTTTCTACAGTGTCAAACACAACAGGGCCCTCACTGCAGATGACACCAGTGGGAAATGTAATAATAAGAGTCAAATATGGCATTTCACAAGACTACCTACTTCTTTTTCTGCCTACTGTGTGGGACTTGCCCAGTACCTGACAGTATGGTAATAAAAGCAGATTTCCTGGGAAAGAAAAAAAGCACTATCCAAGGAATGAAATAAAGGGTCAATTGCTAACTCTTGCCAGTCCTCTCATCTATATTTGTAAAGCCTTGGGCTTGTGGGTCCCTTGAAATTCATCCAGGAGTACACACTAAAACAGGCCCACTAGCTCTTTGCAGAGAAGCAGTTCTGGTGATACGTCCCTTTGGCAAGCTCTTGGTTTTATTTCAAGGCTGTGCTCTGCTGACTGGTGATAATGCCCATGAATTTGCTCCCAGACATGTCTTTGAGGCAGG